TTTTTTGTGATGTGGCCACCTGTCCACTAGGAAATGCGCTGAGACCCTCAACTCAGCTTACATCAGCCAGAGAACAGCTGCCAGATGGTAACTACTTTTGGTCACTACCAACCTGGTTGAATTTGAACTGGTGACCTAGAGGTGAAATGCTTTATATCCTATTACTAATTCCCTGAAGTTTCCAGTTTCCCATCCATCACTTTTTTCAAATGACAGCCCAGTATATGTCTGAAATCTCAAAACAATTACTGCTTCACATAGGCAGCCTGGGCTGCAGTATCTGAGATGTGCCTCTGGCTCTTGTAAAGCTTGCACATTGCCCTTACGGGCTTGAGACAGGTTAGTGCCAAAAGGGCATTTCCAAAGCTGCGTGGGAGCTTCCCTTCTTCCTTAGCAGTGAGCTTTGTTAGGGTTAAGTATGCCCTTTGTTACTTTTGCTAACTACTGTACAACAGAAGGCTTTTAAACTCCCTTTAATTGCTGTGATGATGTTGCATCCTCTGAAGGATAGTTTAGATTTTTGTTTTTCTCATTCCCATTAGAGAAATATGATTTCTCTAACTGGCTGCTTGTTGACTGTGTGGTAAAGGCAGCCAAAAAAACCTGAACATTGTTCTGTCTTTGTAGTTCATGAAAGCTTTGAAAGATCTGTTACCAGAAGAAGGCCTGTGGCTCCCTGCAATACCTTTTGGTTCCTCTCAAAACTTACCCTCCAGTCCCCAGGCCAACACTTCTGTAGTGCATGATGCTCAGGAGTGCCTCTTTGTTAGCAGGGTGCTCTCATACCACAAGTGGGAAATTTGAGCAGGAAATACTGAAGAATTTGTAGAATCAACGGTGCAGTGGAAAATAAATACCTCTCATCAAACTCCATTGGTAGCTGTGATGTCTGATGCCTTTGGGAGAGGCTCATTGAGTGCATCTTATGATGGGGAACAACCGTGCCTCAAGTTTCTCTATTCTGTGCCTCCAGCAGTAATTGAATCGCAGTCAGTTAAAAAGAGGATGAGGTAGCTGATTCCTCAGAGGCAAGTGAAAAATATTTGGGGAAAACAGTTACGATTTGGTAAAGGGTTGTTTTCTTTCTAAGCTTAACTGAGAAACTGCCATAATCGCTGTTTTTAAGGGGAAAGTATGCAAAAGAATCTCAGTCATAGAGTCACTAAGGTAGGAAAAGACCTCTAAGATCATCCAATCCAACCATTCACTTATCACCAATAGTTCCCACTAAGCCACGTCCCTTAGTAAAACATCTGAAGGTTTCTTGAACACCAGAGCTCTCTCCTTAGGGTAACTTACCATGGTTTTTAAACCAATACACCAACTATGGCTTGGAGCAGATCAAATAATATTGATGCTTCAAGGCTGGGATTTTAAACTATGTGGCCAAGTCTTTGTCTTGATATGTTCTTGATCTTAGGTGATAGCTTTTCTTCCACTTCAGGAATGTGCCTCCCCTTGCAGCCAGGTGTCTGCACAGCGTGAGCAAAAGCTTTGCTTTCATGGTGATGGGTTTTTTATTTCCCCTTGACTGATTTCACACCTTTGATATTGCTATATTGCTGCCTGGCTTGGTTCCTGTTTGTGTGCCCTCTTAAGAAATAGCTGATGTGTGTGAGGGAGCCTAATAAGCTATTTTACATCAGGAAAGCTAAGAAAGCCACTGCCCCAAAGAGATAACTGTCTGAAGTAAGATCTCAGGTGCCAGAGGGATGGGATTTTTGGAGCACGTAAAATGAAGTTGGGCTGTGAAATGCAGCTCTTGCTAACAGAGCAAATGGATTTCACCAGCCTGCAGATCAGTTACAGAGCTTGCTCTACTAGCCTTTTACACTCGCAAACTTTTTCACAGGATAAAAAACCACAATGATTATCACAAAGTAAATGAAGAAAAAATATGGGATTTGGGTACTGAAAGTCCACATGACCTTAATTCCAGAATCTCAGTTGTGCAAGGCAGGCTGGTTAAGTACTGCCGTTGGGTAGTAGTAAGGTAAGCAGGAGGAATTCATCTCAGCATAGTAATTGTTCTGCATTACCGTCACCAGCAACGGCATCCAGTCCTCTGCTCTAACTGGGATTTTTGTTTTTGTGATTGCATATTGCTGTGGCTTCTCATAGGAGATCTAGAACACGAAAGATGGGTTGGGATAAAGAATGGCTACAGTTGTTCCATTGTCCTTCCTTGGGGTCTTTGAGGAGACATGGTGAATAGCTGTTATTCTCCTCAGTGACAAATATTAGATATTCTGATGGGAAGAGGTTGCCTACTCTTTTTCTAATCATTACACATTTTTCGAGGAATCCTTCTAGGCTATGTGTAATATAAAATAGAGATTGCTGTTCCAGGCATGTGTGTGTTAATATACTGCCAAAAAAAAAAAGGTGGATATCCATGTTCTAGAGCTGGATGGGGCCAAGGAAATACATACACACATATACATGTGTTTATCTTCTGTAAATGTGCAATAGACTTTCATATACATTGGGACTTTTAAAGTAAGGCCAAGATCATGTAATCTCCTTCAATGAAGCCAAGAGGAAGGTGAGATATATTTGGCTGGCTCTAACAAACCCTAAGATGGTCCGTATGTAATAATATATCTTTGAGTAGGCTGTTTTTGCAGTGTCATCATACTGAGCAGAGTCGGATTCTTCCTTGGCTCATCCTGGACACCAGGTTTATATGACCTAGAAAAAAAAAAAAAGAGGGGGGTGTGTGGGTATGTATTTTTAGCTGAACTAAAGGGTATAATCAAGGTTAAAAGATGAGGCTGAAGCAGGAACCTCATGGAAACAAGCATTTTTTAAAATAAGTAAAACGAAGTCATCATTGTTTCTTCATGGATTACTTTTTAAAGCTCGCTGATATGTGTGGAGAGTCTAGAAAATAATTTATTTCAAATTAACCAGCTGTTCTTACATTGTGGCTTCATAACATGCAGTTGGGGTTAAAAAACAGTGTGCAATCCATTCCATGTCCATTTTGTAGAAAAAAATACAAATAAATAAACTCTGAACTTCTTAGCAGTGTCTACTTTTAGCAAGTTTGCATTTAATAAGTTCTCATGTTCCATGGCTTTTCTAAAAGCACTTCACCACAGTGATCTTTTTACAGTCCCATGTACCAGCGTTCAGCAGGCCAGGCAGGGTAATAGCAGCCTTGCATTAATCAGCAGCTAGGATTTATATCTGTACCTGTGGCATCACACTAGGATAACCTAAAATAAACAGCAGGGTGTTTATACTAGTCACGTAACAAGTGTCTTTCTCTGTTTGTCACAAGTGTTTAATTTAAAATGTATCCAGTAAAGAAAAAATTGTTTGGCACTCTGTGTTTCCATTTTAAGTAATCAACTTTAAAATAGCAGCAGTACAGGATATGTTTTATAAGATGAGCTCTGAGGAAGAGGACAGATTCTTTCATCACTCCCAAATGTCTCTGAGGAGATGTGCAGCAGGTGTGGAGCAGGGAGGCCGAGTGCCCCAGGGCTCCATCCTCCTCCACTGCCTGCAGAGCAGCGAGCTGCAGGCACCCTGCCCTCTGCACCCCTCCTCCTTCACCCCTTTGTGTGTCCCCTGTCCTCCCTGACTTAGGTTGTCTTCTGCATCTGGCTGCTTCCAGGTGGCCGTGGGTTGGTAGGGCAGCGCCCACAGTGTCAGCGGTGTGCAGAAAGTGAGTTAGTTTCAGGCAGCGGGGAGTTTGGAAATAAATAGTTAAGGATTGGGGAAAAGTTTTGGGATTACCAGTCTCAAAGCTTTAAAAATCTCACTTGTTCCATAAGAAGAGGATGTTGTTTTATAGAAGTGCTGCGTTCTTCAGTGCAATTCACCCTTTGATGCCAGCGTATATCCTACAGGACAGGTGGGATTTTAAGGCTCTGTATTGCATTTCTTGAGATTGGTGCATTGCGTAGTCTTTGTTTGCTCACCATGCTTTCACATAACATCCTGTGCCAGAGTACTGTGAACTTATCTTGAATTTATTGGACACCTAGCACCTATTTAAACATCTATTTTTAAACCAGCACCATAATGTCAGATTTAATGGGCGACTTCCTGCATTTTTTTCCTTTTATGTTTGAATGTTGCACACCAAAATAGACTCAGTCAGCTAATGATGACAGAAGTAGATACAAAGCCAGTATGAATCTAGAAGTTGCTCAGGAGCAGAAAGCCAGTTAAGCACAATTGTTGTTGTTGTTGGTATATAGTGGTAAGTCAAAGGTAGCAGATTCAGGGTTAAATTTGTGGCTGTTCAATATAGGGGTTCATGTTAGTGAGGGTGCTTCACATTAGAGAGGCAAAATTTCACTTCCCAAGGTTGTTAAAACTTCCTAAGTATGAAAGAGGATTTAACAGGAAAATTTCTCTCATGCAAGTTGCAGTTCATGCAGCCTTACTGCACTGGCTAATTCTTTACAAAAAATATGTATCTAATGGAGCACATATGCTTCTAACTTCGTTTTCAGTAGATGAACAGCCACATTCCTGTGGATACTTCCTTACAAACTGCTTTTCTTCCTAAAAAACCAGACTTGTAGACCTAGAACTTCCAGATGGGAGCTATGAAATACCATATGCATTACAATGCCCACCTTCAAATGCTGACCATCATGCCAAAAAGATGTTATAAACCTTCAATATGCGTACGCGGTGAAAGGCATGCAGCTCACTGCAATATCTCTAAGAGGAGAAATAGTATTTTCATTGATTTGTTTTTTAACAATTAAGTGCAGAAGTCCAGGTTAGCCGTGTAACATTAAAGAATGCAAACTTTCCTTAATTTTCTGATAGCTACAAATCTAGAAAAGAAATACAAACCTTGCCAAAGAGTACCATATCGTGTGTGTTAAGAGAGAAAGTTGTGAACGTAGGAGAGTCAAAGTACAGAATGTTACATATACAGTATGTGTGCAGTTGCATATACATGTTCATAGACATGACTTAAGTTCAGCAAATATAATGTCAAAAATTTGACTCTGTGCCACTTGTTTCAGGCAGCTATTTGGCAGAAGAACAAGGTGTCAGATCACAAAATGGCCTGCATGTCAGTTCTGGGAACAGCCGTTATGGGCAGTATGGTACCTTTTCAACACCGCTGCGAAGATCCTGAGGTGAGTTTAAGCTTCCTTCTCCCAAATCCACTTACAGCCCGTCAATGAAGAGCTAAGTCAGTACTCAAAGAAGAGACTTTGAAATAGAGAATGTTTTCTCCAGACTGACATCTGATTAATACATTTGATTCTGATACTTGCCTCCGTAAAATTAATTGGTTTGGTGATTGAAAATGCGCTCCCAGAATCATCTCGTCAGGACTCATGTGGCACTGATCAAATGGCAGTAAAAACAGTTGTGATGACAAATGCAGAATTGCTGATTGCTCAGAGCTGTCTAAGTTAGGATTCCGGGCCTGCGGGCAGGTTGTGCTCTGATTAATAACTAAATAGCTGTATCATTCTTATCCTCGTGGCCTCTTAGCCTTATCTTCTAAACATTCTCTCAGTTTCAGTCAGGGTCACCAGAAGAGCAAAATAAGCACATGCTTAGAAGGCAAATTTTGTAAGATTTATAACAAGCCTGCTTTTGAAGGAAATGCTTGCCAGCTTTCAAAAAAATTAAGAGCATGAAACTCTTTTGCTGCTGTTGAAAGTGGAGGAGATGCCCTTTGTCTAATATGTTCACTTTCTAAAAATTCTGCTTCTGTTTTTGTTGCAGACACTCTTACAGAGGAGAGCAGTACTCCTGCTGAGACTGCAAAGTTAACTTTTCTCTGTGTGTCCTGTAGTAGTGGGTCTTGCCCATAGTCACGTAGATGAGATGAATCATCTTTGGTAAAGTGAGAGTACTGAACACAAATGACTGTGCTGCAAGAAATTGTTTAGTCAGTCTTAAATATGGAGTTTGTAAGAATGCTTATAGTATATATAAACAAGGAATTGGAGGGAAGCAAAGTTGCTTCTCATAGCTTACAAAGTTTTCATGTTTATGTCAGAACAAGCACAGATGTTCTGTTCATACCTGAGCGCTCTCTGGCTGTGCCCCATATGGCAAGTGCTCTTCAGGGACGACCAGGGGGTATTTAAAAGGGACTAGCTTGAGGGAGGCACTCAGCTTCTCACATTACATCTTTGCTATATCATGAGGCATCCGTATTCCTTGAATAGTAGTTGGAGAACATTCCATCTCTCTCTCTGTCTCTAAATAGTGTGTAAAATACCACGTGCATCATTTATAGGTGTATAAGTGATCCGTGCATGTTGTGTGTGCACAGGCTCACATTCAGAAACTATGGATATTTCTAATTTAAGCAGGCAAACACAATGAAATGACAGAATTAAGGCTGCCTGTGTAGCCCTTGTCTCTTTCCTTTGCGTGCAGGAATTGGGATAGCTATTTGATGACAACCTGTGTGCCTCTTTTCCCTTTCCATGCAGTCTGTGTCTCATTTAGTGCACAGATGAGAGCAGCACTAATACTTCATTTCCTACTTGTCCATTGTGCAGCTTCCTAATCCTTCACTGCAAAGTCGACTGAATACGAAATCAGTGTTGCTATAAACCTTTTGTAAGCTGTTCCTTACTAACTGCACACTGAAATGTTCTGCAACAAGTGATTCATGCATTTTGAAGACTCGCCTTCTCCAAAACTTCCCTATTACGAGCACTGCCTGAAACAAGAACATAGTTCAAGTTGGCTCCAAGGCATGGAAAAGTTGGGAAGTACTCACAAAGTAGAAAGTGAACCAAAGAAAATAAAGAATGGACAGTTTGTCATGTGCAAAGCATCATCTATGCTTTTTGCATCCCCGTTCTTGGAAATGGGTGGATCCAATTTGGCTGCAGAGTTTCACTCAGGAAACTTTGACAGAGAAAGGAATTCCTATGGAATTCCTAGGAATTCTCCTATATTCTGTGAGGGTTGTTTGGTGGGTATACAAGCTGCTGGGAACAAGGTGAGCACTGAAGAAAGGCTTACTGTCCAATCAACACAGATATATTGTAATATGTACATAGATTAAATATTTTCCAGTCTCTGTAATTTTGCCTGAATTTAAAAAAAATATTTTTATACATTATAATTTTAATAATTAAGGTTAGTTTTGGAACTCATTACTAACTTCTAATGAGCATACTTGATATTCCACATGTCTTTAAATAGTAACAGCAGTCAGCCATTTCTTAATCTGGCAGCTTCTTAAGTGACTTATTTAGAGACTTTCAGTTTTGTTTTAATGTTGTCTGTACATAAAAATACTGTTTGAAGTGAAACACTAATACAGATGTTTGGAAACTGGAAAAGAAATGTGAAGCATAAAGAAGGGACGTTCAGAGAGGATGTGCTAAAGCTGCAGGATAACATCGAGAAGCGCTGCATGTTGTTTTTTGATAATCATCCAGCAGATATTTGACACCTCTTTAACTTGACCAGTGGTGTTTGGTTATGTGCAACATTGCTGACCAGAACACTCCAGCTTTAGCACAGAATGCTTGTTACAAGGTCAGGAGGGAATAAGGGAGCACATGGGCAGATAGCTGCTGTGACGTAGGTGAGTGGGGAGGATAGGCCAAGTCCCAGGGATTTTAAGTCCCGTTTCAAATGCACGATGGCTTGGGTCTTAGTATGTGCAAGAGGTTCTGCCAAAAGAAAAACCAGAGAGATCTGATTTCTGTATTCTGTGATCCACCCTGCTACCAGAACGTTCTCCATACTTTCCCACGTATCCAGAATTCAGTCTTTGCTTTGCACCAGCCCCACGCTGAGCCCTTAGCTATTTGTCTGGGCAAACTGCAGTGGAGCAGCATGTGGGGCAATACTTGAGCTGGCTGGCACATGTCAGTGCTGGTGGATCCTGTCTTTGGAGAAGGTACGATTGCCTTTTCTGCAGAAGGGTCATTATTTCATGGGTGTCCTGTCCAAACAGCTGTCAGTTATCACAGAAATTGTGCAAATACAGCATCTTTGGGATTTCTGCTTCTTTACCAGATATAATTGAAATCATTTTAAGGGCTCTCAAGTTGTTTGGTAGAGGAGAGGAGGAACTGATGAGGCAGGCAGCACGAGTCATTGGCCTCGTTTCAGCTGGGGGAAAAAAAAAGACAACAAAGCTAAAAAGGCTTAATGGAGAAATTATAAAATTGGTGCTTAATGTTAGGTACTTGAATTGCATGATGTGTTCTGGGCTCCTTGTCAGGGCTGAGTGCATGCAGGTTCTGCTCGAGGCTGAAGGCAGATGATTTGCATGCCGATGGTGTAGGTAAATTTCGGTGCCCTGAATAAAGGCCTGACAACAGGCTATTTAAGATGTCCTGAGTGTGGAAAGAGAGGGAGTTCATCTTTAGATTTTCTACCTTAGGGTGAGCTCGCTACCAACTTCTCCAGGCTGGACAGCAGTGTGTGCCTTCAGCTTATACCAGCCGTAGTTGGCAGCCCTGCAGTCAGCAAGTATGCACTTAGCTGGCGTTGGTTTGTTGGCTCCAACCATCTCCAACCCCAGCTGCAGACAGCAACCTGGTGAACCTGCAGTCCCAGTAGGAAATGTCTCAATGAGGGGTAATAGAGACAGAAGTATCCTTCTCAACCTCTTTTCTTTAAAGTGCTTATATTGCTTGAATCATAGAATCACAGAACCACCAAGGTTGAGAAGGGCCTCCAAGATCATCCAGTGCAACCACCAGTATTTCCTACTAAACCATCATAGCTCTGAAGAAGCAATGCACGTATTCAAATGGCTGGGCCTGCTGTGTGTTTCACTGTAATTTCCCACCTCAGAAAAATATTGTTGACATTGTCTTTTAAAGACCTTTGTGCTGTATTTGTTCTATCATTACAGATAAATCTTTCTGGATTTCTTCCAAAGGCTGAGTCAGACAGCTCTTTGACAAGTCTCTCAAGCTCAGAACGGAGTTTTATTTTTATAAATGATCGTCCAGTTCATCAGAAGGAAATATTAAAGGTAACTCCCTCTAGCATTTACAACCACAGACCTGAAGGCTGTAGTTACAGCTGCTTGAAAAAATAATGGATTTCCGATATACAGGAGCCCAGGATGGTTGGTTTTGTTGTTGTTGTTTGGTTTTTGTTTTTTTTTTTTTACTATTAGCCTAGCAGAATTAGACCTGTGCAGTTTTTCATGCAGGAACTGTATGTGGTTTCCACAAGACATGTTTTCTGAAATAAAAATCATGATTTTGTGCACTTCATACTGAGAGCTTACCAGGCTTTCATACACTTTCACTTCAAATCTGTGTATGCGTTGAATAAAAATGAAAGTGATAGTGCAGAAGCACTGGCTGCAGCTAGGCATTGTGTAGGCAGAATTTGATACTCTTGGGTTTCTCACACTGCTGAACCCTGCAGCACCTCACTTGGAGCAGCATTGCTGTTCTAATCCTTGCACCTCCCAGAAAAGAAAATTCAACTCATGCTGAAGTATACATGTAGGGTTCAAAGTGGAGAAAATGAATTCATTTTCAGTCTACGCTCAGAGTTTTGTAGATATAAGCCCTGAACTTGTTTGAGTTGTAACTGACAAACAAGGCTAATCCTGTACTACATCTCCACACAGAATTTGATATACCTGTTTCTTGCTGCAGCGTAAGGTTCAGTTTGGATCCCATAAAAGAGGCAACTTCTTAACCAGGGGCTGGATGAGGTTCAGGGCACCATAATGCCAAGTAAAAATACATTGTCCTTCACTTATGGCTGTTCTTGGAGTGTGGATTCCTTTTATTTTGACCTAAATTCTGAAACAACTAATGAATTTCTTGGTTGTTTGTTGGGAGTTTTCAAGGGGATTATAGAGAAAGCAGTAAGGGCAAGCAAAGTTTGTGAAAAGTTGTAAATTTATAGTTGGGTTAACAAAAGGAACAGACTAATCCTGTTCTGGGAAAAGGTCAACTCTGTGGTACAAGTGTTACTTTCTCAAACAGACTTTGGTTTGGCTGAAAGAGACAGTGATGTAGTTGCAAGCTGTGTAAGTAGATTGTCTTTAAAAAAAACAAACACAGAAATAATAGCATTTGGGTTGAGTGAGGAAGTAAGTGTTAAAAATGACCAAACAGGACTGCAATTCTAAGTACAGGCATATCAAGTGTGTTTTTTCCAAATATGATCGATGTATTTATTCAGAAGGTCAAAGCAGCTTCCATTTGTTTCTTGGAATTTGATCTTTTTTTGTTTTATTTTCATGTTTATTTAGCTGTGAATACATGGGAACCACTAGTAAGTCCCCTTTTGGTGATTATTTTGTCACATGTGTGTATTCAAATATTTTCTTAGCATTGTGTTAATTTGGGGAAAAAATAGAGTTAGAATTTTATAACATGAAATTTTGTTCCTGTGCCTTTATTTGTATTTTGTTGCCTCTACTGACATCTCTTTACTTAATTAATCTGTAGTTAATTCGACAGTACTACAGTGTGCTGATGCAAAAGGACAGCACGCGCTTATACCCTGTGTTCTTTCTGAATATTACTGTACCTGCCTCTGCTGTGGATGTGAACTTAACACCTGATAAAACTGAAGTTCTGCTGCAGTATAAGGTAACTAATGTCTTATTCTGCTGTTGAGCTGGCAACTTTTACTTATGCACAGGTAATAAGAGCTTCTGGAACTGCTGAAATGTGTGAAGGTAAACAGTGCTGCTGAAGCTTTTTAGGGGGATTATTCAAAACTCATTTCCTAGTTGATTTTGAAGGTCATTTATGTGCTTTCACACACGTGTTTGTTTCCAGTTAGCTTTATAGTGACCAAAGCTAAATGCAATTGCAATGTGTGTCCTTAAATAAATCTCATGCTTAGATTCTCAATGCACAAAGTAATATACATTTATAACACTGCACACATTATGAAGGGGAAGTCAGTTTCTGCTGAATGCGCTATGTGCTGTTATGTGCTTACGTAATTGTTGACATCACTTAAGTTTTGGGATATCCTGTCAATACCATCTAACTAAATCTAACTAAATAGTATGTGCCCGCATTTTAGAAGTTATCTAGTGATACATGTTATGTAAGTTTACTTTCACTTTTTGGTACTTCACATAAAAAGCAATGCCACAGAAATTAACAAAGCTATTCACATTGCACGCAGGCAGTCACACAGGTAAGTTTATCTTTTTCAATATAAGTTCTTGTAGTTGTCTGTGTTAATGTTGAAAATGCATTGCCAGTGAAGCACCACTTACATCAAAATTAACATAGCATTCTCACACCCATTCTAGTTTAAAACTTTTCTTTGGTATTAAAAAGAGGGTTGGGGTTTTCTTGTTTGTTCCTTATTTGCATCATTTGCTGCAGAAGTGTCTTGGCAGCACCTTCACAAGCATGTTTACATCAGTTGGAGTGGTGCTCCTGTCTTTGCTGTGAGCATTTGATGCTGTGTGAAGTGGGAATCGCTTTACTCGATATGGTTTTCAGCAGTCAGCCCACTGTGCTATAAGGAAAGCAGTTAATCACTTCCATGATTTCAGTGTGAACCAGTGAAGGAAAACACCTATCCCAAATATTTGAGGTGAAATTTGTCCATTTCAGAGCCTTTTTTACCATGTGTTTTTTTAAATAAAAAAAAAAAAAAAAGCCATAATCTCTTCAGATTTGTTTTGAAAAATTCTGAATAAGATCACTTGGCTCTGTATTCTGGATATCTGTCAGTTGTGTATTTAGGTTTTTACTCATGCTTTCTATGTGTCTTTTTTTCTGGTTGTTATTTTTATTTACTTGTTTGGTGGTTTTTTGTTTTTGTTTTTTTTCTTCCCAGGACTGTGTCTTATCTGCTGTTGAAAATGTGCTGAAATCTTTGTATGGGCCACTACCTACTGCAGCCTCTGGTGAAGCTAATAAAACAGATGTTACCTCAGAAGACACGTGTGTTCATAATGCTGGACAAACAGATGTGGTTGTTAATGAAAAGGAACCATGTGGAAACAATGATCTACATGCTCATACTTCATTCCTTTCATTCAGCAGTGATGTGCAAAGTTGTCAAGCAGGAAAAAACACGGAGATCTGTTTAAACCATCAGATATTCTCTGATACTGTACATAGTCGCCTAGAAAGAAAAGAGGCTTCTGAGAATGATGCCTTTCAAGAGGGTTCCTTACGTTTATTGTGTGAGGAGGAGCAGAGCAGACAAAACACAGCTGGTATTTCAAGTAACAGTGCTCCTATAGATCCTGGGTCTAAAAAAGATGGTGGACACCTTTTGAGTTCTGATAAAGTTGAAGAAGCCTTAGTCCCTGAAGACTTACCTGAAATCTCTGCTGATAATTGGAGTATGGGAAATGCATTTAAAAACTCCTCAGGAGACAACCTGGAACCTGTTAAGGTTTTAATTCCTGAAGCTGGAGGAGCAATTAATAAGCAAAGTGAGCGCAGTGATGAACAAAGCCACGATCCACAAATCCCAAATCAAACTGTAAAGAAAAGAAATGTAATAGATGAGAAAACAGGACAAGTAACGGGTTATGACTTAATTCATGGCCGAACAATAAGGAAATCAAAGTCTGCATTTGAACACTTCATCCAAGAATATCGTTCAAAGTTATTTTCTGAAAATCCGAGGTGTAGCATGAAGGACATCCTATTGAAAATTGAAGAGCTGTGGAAGAATTTAAATGAAGAAGAAAAGCACAAGTAAGTTTCCAGGCTTCATCTTGCTTCTAAATCTAGTAGTTAGCAATGAGCAAATGAGTCATCTGTTGTGAGCGGGAGAAAGATTCTAACTTCCCAGTTTTTTATGAAAAACAGAACAGAAAATTATTTTTGTCTTTCCAAGGTCGGTGATGGTTTTGTCTGACATGCACTGCTGATTTGAGTTGCTTGTTTGGCCACTGTATCTGCCGTGCAGCAGTTAAGTAGGGACAATTTCCCTGAATTGTTGTTTAGAAATAGCAGGCAAGAGCTGTGCTTTGTGAATCATACAAACATCAGCTTTTTAAGGGCTTGCCTGTGTCTCGTCACTCTGTAGCACTGTCAATGAAAACCAGCGCGGTGATGAATGAGGCACTGTATCGTTCCTGCAGAACTTTTTCCAACCAGCAGTTTTCTTTTTATTGCTTTAAAGTGAGAATTCTCTTTTAGGATCTTTAGTACTTGAACATTTGGAAAACTCCTTTCCCCTATATTTAGTAAGTATCCCAACCCAGTCTACCCCATTATTGTATGTATAAAACCCAGTCAAATGACACAAGGAATTTCTTTCCCCCCAACAGCTATTCCAGTGCCTGTTCAGAATATAGTACAGTTCAAATGCTAGTGGGTCCTTTGTTTCACTCTAAATCAAACCTTTTCAGATTACAGTCTGAATATCAACGTTTCCTATTCTAGACTGTTGTATCAGTGCATTTTTGAAATTCATCTGCAAGTAAGGAAAATATTTTAGCCTTCTTTAGTTTGGGTTTTCTGATTTTTTTTATTTTTATTTTTTTAGAGTGGGGATCTGGTGGTCAGTTAGCTAAAATGTATGTGGAATTTATATTGCTGGGAAAGATCAATTAGAGTGACAGATTTTAAGGCATTCTAAGGCAGTTCAAAATGTGGAAGGTTCTTTTAATGTTGTGAGAGATAGAATCATACAAAGGAGAAAATAAGAGTTCTTCAGCAGTTTTACATGTTTATTGTCAACAGAGTCACTTAAGTGTTGTGAAAATGTATTTTTTTAGTGGTACAGAAGTGAACAGAGGGGATTAAGGAAGCCAGCAGACAAAATAATGTAATTTTCACACTGCTGAGAGGTTTGATGAGGAGAATGGTGAAAAAAAGAAGCTATACCTGTAGAATTGAGATCTCTAAGCAAGCAGAGTGTTCCGATCACAAAACCATGCGTGTAAGAAATGGTGTTTTGCCCACGTCTCCTTCAGCAGGAATATTTATGTTCTAATAGGAATCTACTCCAATTATATTCATGCTTTTAATGAAACAAAACAAAAGGTTCTGCCAGCTGCTTCAGAAAATTGTAATTTGCTCTGCTTTAGCTTTTGGGATTTCATGGCTGCTTTCCTGGTACAACTGTTATGTTTAAGAGCGTGCCTACAGATTATATTAGTTCAGAAAGGAGACCTCTCTGGTAGTGGAATTTTTCTTACCTATAGAAATAAATGCAGTATGGCCCAGTAGATGTTGGAGTCAGTGAAAGATTTACCACTAGTTTTAACAGTACTTTTCAGGTTTGGTGTATCTCTGTTTCACTTTCAGTCTTTTAAAATAGCCCCAGAAAATAATAACTGTAAAGAGATTGTAGTTAACTTTTCCTTCAAGGCAGCAATCCCAAAGAACTGTTCCATGTCTGCCAGAGAGCATGTCTTTGCCTACCAAACACTCTGGATGAATTGGGCCACCTAGAGGTAACAACAACTATCTATAGAACAGGGCAGCCAAAGGGCCGTGCTCCCACTGTGCCTCCAGGTTCAGGCAGCCTTCTGGGCTCTAGACCTCTGTCCTGCCACGAAGTCCCATGTTTAGGTTACAGTAGATACACTCAGCTTCAGCATTTCTGTTTGTGGCTTCTCTAGCAGATCTAAATGAATTTAAATCCCTTTTTGGGAGCAGTACAACCAACAGGTGTCACATAATTACATGGAATAGCCTATTCAGAACAAGCCAGTGCTCATTACACAACCAGAATGTGAAATTTTATGGTTTTTAGGTTATAATAGAAGAGAAAGCTTCCATGCCTGTCCATATTGGCAGCATTGCCTATCCCCTTGCTTTGCAAAGCCAGAGTTGAATTACTTATACTCACTCTGCTCTTTCTTAATACAGCTTGTGCATGTGTCTGGCCTTAGTATTTCTTGTTTATCAGGCTCAAGTAGCAGTGGGAGAACTCCATGCATTAGTTAGGCAAAACCCTTGCAGTAAGGTCTTGCAGGGTTAAAGTTTTTCTGGTGGTGGCCTAAAATGAAAGCATGTAGGACTGACTTTGGAATTGTTTTGGTTCTGGATGACATTTATCAGTACTCTTGTATTTAAATATTGTTATGTGTTCCAACTGTGTCTGTTCAAAGCAGAGTATTTATTGATCTGGTCAATAATATGAATGTATTCTGTATTAGAAAAAGTTCTGGTCAAGTGGTTTAATCGATATTTTAAAAGGAGCAGATGTTTTTTGTCTTAGCGTTTACTCCATAATTTCTAGGACATGATTTATTGCAAGAAACCATTTAAGCTGACTTTTTTTAGTTAACTAAATATTGGTACCATATGTGAATGCTAGCACATCATAATTAATTGCAAATGGTGACCTTTTTGTTGACCTTAATTTTCCAGCACGCATACACATAATTGAATCAAACTGTTCCAGCAAGTAGCAATAAATAAATATGACCAGTGAAAATATTTATTTCCAATACTTATGTATGATAGCGCTGCCTTTTATTGGAGGTCAGATTGGTATGAATAACCTGACAGAATTTAGAGTATCAAATCAGGGCGAAAGGAGGTAGCACATTGCCCCTTTGTCCTTCAAAAAAGTGAGGCTCATAGGAGCCGAGCATAAACCATCTATAAAGCTTTAGCTATCATCTTGATGTTTACAAGCTCGTTAAGAATCCCTTCAGGTTTTAGAGCTTTGGTATGTATAGTAACTTAACTATCAAGACAGCATTTAGAATGGCTCATTACCAAGTCACTTGTTGAAAAGTCTGTAAGTTTATTATTTAGAATTCTGTGATAATCATATCTACCCTGGATTTGCATGCTTTTTATTCATGGCTGGTCTAATTTGAAGTCACTGTGCTTCTTTACCTTAAGTAAAGCCTGAGGCTTATGAAATTATTTAGCCTCCAAACTCCTAGTTAAATGCCAGGACTCCACTTGAAATTTGCAGAGCTCTGGAAGCTCAGGTGGCCTTGTGAATAGGATTGGATGTGCCAGTGACAAAACTTCTGAAGCTATATGTCTCATTGCAAATTCAAATGAAACATAGTTTTAGGATTGAGGTCAAAGGCAATCTGCTGTAGCTGATTGTGTTTATGTAGCCCCCTTCAACAGTTCAGATTTTCTTGGCTGTTGTAATGAAGGAAAACTTCAAACTCATCATCCTTACTGGGTAGAGGTGTAGGGGCACAGTCCCTGGTCTCTTTTCCACCCCAGTCATAGTGGAAGGCGTACTGATGTGGCTACTTGAGTGACCCATGGGAGTTCTTACCTTGCTAGGAGTAGTTGCCTTGTCTTTTGGTTTTGTGTGTTAGGGGTTGCAGTCTGTGATTTCTTGTTTAGTTCAAATTTCTTTTCTTTTTTAAGGTATGAAATAAAAGCTGCTAGAGACCTGGAGCGGTACAACAGAGAGGCTAGCAAAGCCATGCAGGAAAAAGCAAACAGACCTGTAAAGGAGACAGAAAAACAGAAGCCCAGGCTGAAGACTCCTCCACCCAACCAGCAGAAACTTGACAAAATGTTGCATTTTCGAACTGATAAGAAACCCAAGTGTAATCAGCCTGTGAAAGTTGTTACGGTGCCTTTTTCTCTGAGTTCCTGTAGACCTCAGTTTCAGAGGCACGAGAAGAGTGATTCAGATGGACACGAGCTTTGCCTGATCCGTTGCCAGAGTCTTCCTGATATCTGGATACTTGCTACTGAAAAAAAGCTAATGTTGCTGAATCCATATAGATTGGAAGAAGCCCTGCTGCGTAAAAGATTGCTGATGAACCATATCCTTCCAGTAGAGAAACTGGACAAGCCAGTTGTGTTATCAGACAGGTAGAGTACAAATAAGGGAAAAATTGTAGTTTTCATTATTTATAATTAGGTAGAGTAGGCTGATAAGGCCTTGTTCACAAATTCTGTGACTATTTGAATCTGTAAGGGTACAAAACATAAAAATATGCTCTTACAGATTAATAAAAGAACAAAGGATGAGCAAGTCTGGTCATTTTCCAGTACAAATGAGTACAAATTGTGACCTGTTTGGAAATGTAGTGAAGACAAATTTCTTCTCCCAGAGGGGGGAAGTAAATGCTTCACATTTTCACAGCTTCACTCTAGCTAACTTTCCCCATGGATTATGGAGTGGCTGTCATAATTATTACTATTTGTCTAAACTTGGTCATTCTGCAAGATATGTAAATAGTTGATATTCTGTATTTCTTCTTTAAAAAGACTGCTTTTTTCCGACATACTTTTCAAAATCATAATCACTCTTACTATCTGACACTTTTAATGTATTTTTCTGAGCAGTTTTAATTTTAAAATGAAGGATTTTTTTAACCCTTTGGGTGTTGGTTTGTGCGGTGTTGCTTTTTCTCCTAGTCTTCTTGGGGAATCTCACTATATGGATGCTCTTCATAAAATGCAGAAGGATTACCAGACACTAAATGGATCAAGTTATTTGTCAGACCCAAGGCTTGTAGCAAATGGCTTTCAGATAAAAGTGATAGAAGGTATGATGGTTTTAATGTCTTTTAGTCTTACTGGAGCTTCTTTTCTTCTGATTTAATGATTTAAATGATGTCTATTTTGTTGTCCTACATCACATTATCATTGAAAGCACCAAGATCCTGTTTTCCTAAACATTAAGATTCTATTACTTTACTAGAGATGCATTCATCTATATACAATAATGATTAATGGAAACTGATAACAGAAAACATGAGTAAAAAAGGAAGGGTATGTAGCTGGTGGCATAACCTCCTCTTTACATGTAAGCATCTCGTGACATTTTTATTTCTTTTCTCCAAATGCTGATTTGCCATTCTGGCAGAATCATTAAACTGATGAGACTTCTACAGTCAAGGCAGCTTCTTCCAAGATGAGAGTTACTTGCAGAATCTTATGTGAGTGAGTGCTTCAGCTGACTGTTCCTCTTCTGTTCAGCAGCTGAGGAGGTCCAGTAAGGAGATGGAACTGGTTACAGGTTTTCTTTCATACCAGGATTGTAGCACAGTGCCCGAAGGGGCCGGTAAAGAGTGGGTCAGAGGATCATCATCAGCTGTTTTGATAGAGGTTGGTCTCCACTCTGAGATTCTTTCAGCTTAGCAGTAAAAATAAGTGCTTATAGATTTTTTTTCTGAAGAATAATTTACAGTGATGCTGTAAATTATTGTAGATTATTGAAATCTAGAGGCAACCCGCCCAGAATCAATTCTGAGCAGCAGGATTTCTGCAGCAGAATTCCAAGAAAAGCAAACTTCCTTGGGGGCAGTACCTAGCTGTGACAGCTCAGAGGAAAGGTTCACTATAGGAGCTGTTAGAAATGCTATAGCTTCATGTGTTACAGATCCCCGCATATGTACAGTGATGACAGATCTGCTCAAACATATGGGATCTTTTAAGAGTAGGTATGAAAAAGGGATGTACAGTAACTCCTTCTGTCAGGGGCTGGCTCTTGGGCAGAACAGAGCCTAAGCTGTTTTCTTTTCTGAACCACATACAGCAAAAACAAGGATGCTTCCTTCTGAGTGGCTAAATCCTGTGATAAATAATGAGAGCTGTCTAGAAGTGTGCATGAAAGCAATTAGATTGAATCATTAAGGGAAACAAGTACTTGTGGTAAGAGACAGCTCTTAAGAAGCTGTCAGTCAAGCACATAAAAAACTGAGCAAATCTACAACTTGTCTCTAGACAAATAGGGGAAGAAGGGATTGGAGCCCTTATTGCTTATGTACCTTCCTATTTTTTTCCACCTTTTTAAACTGGATGTGAATAAATTTTTGAAGACAGTTTTCAGTCTTGTGGAAATGGGAAAGGCAATCTACTTTTAAAATAGTTTGCTTAGTACAAGAGTGAAATTGTATGATATAATGTTATAGGACTCATGGCAGTAACCAGGAAATAACAATAGTTTCCCTGTGTCCCTCACTATATAAAATTAAGGAAATTAAGTCTTTTGAGGAACCTTGTCCTTGTTTAGTTTGCAGTTTAAGGAAAGTCCAAACAGTGCTCTGTTGGCTTTACATGCACTGTACAGGTTGAGGAACCATTTAATCAAGGACTTGATGGTTACTGTATAGCCAGCCTACCTGAGGAATGACAATCTATTTCAGTTCTTAGTTACAGTCTTATATTTTAACTACTTGAATGAGACATTAATAACCTTTGAGGCTTGTCAGTCATATTTATAAGCTTCTGCTAATGATGTTATGGCAGTTACAGCCTCTGTTATAGCATGTTATTGCAGATGAAGGTAGAAATGCCAACAGAAAAAATGGAATTTCACCCAGCCATTTTTTCCAACTGACCTATGGATTTTTACTTAATACTTCATCAGTTCCTCTTTTTTTTTTTTTCTTCCTTTCCTTATTATTTTCCCTTAAACTTAGCTCTGAAATGCACTATTATCTACTTCTGTTACAAACACTTTATTAAAGTTATTTTTCAGAAACATGAGTATTAATTATCAACGCTCCTTAATTGTCTGTTCTAGAAAATTTCTGTGTAGTTTGAGGTTCTTTACTTTAAATATCCTTGTATAATCTTGATGTAAAACTTACACCTGAATATTCTGTGGGACTTGTTAACTTTGGGAACAAGTTCATTTCATTAAATACTCTACAGTGTCCTTTGTTTTGTCTTGTGGTTTGGTTTTTGTTTTCTGTTTTTATTTTTTAAACTCAGACACAGCCTATAAACAGGACACTTACTCAGTTGTTTTTGAACTTGAAGTTGCCTCAGGTTTTGTTTCTTGACTATGTATTAATAGACAGAAATTCTCTTTTTTTACAAGCAGAGGTTTTCCTTTCTTTATCTTTGCATTTGAATGTGACAGTTGTATCCCTACTAATACTTTCTTGCAAAGAAACAAGTTGTTCAATATTTAAGTCTGTGATGCCATCAGTTGGTCCTTAACCCTTCTACTGTCCAATTTGTCAGCTCTCATAAATCATCTTTTAATTGCTGTTTCTTAATGTAGACTTGATTCAACTCATGTGATAACTTCATACCCTTGTTCTTCCTAACAAGGACTCTGTGTATGATTTTGTTCTACCATTTTATTGGGAAATCTTTGAACTTCTGGCTACATTTTCTTTTTTCACGAGTCCAGCCTTTGGACAGTAGTTTCTCCAAGAGTGCAGGAGTTCCAGACCATGCTTGGGTATGGTTTCTCTTAAGGCTACGTCTGTCCTTTGAATATTCTCTTGCTGTAAAATGAGAATGTAGTTTACCTTTGGTTTGAGTGATTGCAACCAAAGCTGTTTTAAGTGTTCTAGATGTTGGATATGCCATGTTGTCTTGTTTGGTAGACCAATATTTTTGTTTCTTTGTCTCTCTATATTGATTGCTCAGCACTCTAAAGAGTTTCTAACTAGATTTTTCTCTGGATAGCTGACAGTGAAAAACATGTTGTGAAATAACTCAGGAAAGTTTCTTGGCATAAATGTCACTTAGGCAAAATCAATGGTTTCTTTGTGGAACATGCCAATTGTGATCCTCATAAGTGGTGACACTGAGCCTCCTTCACCACCCTCCCGCCCACTCAGTGTTCTGGCCTTGCTCAGACTTCAAGTGATGCTGCCTTTGAGAGAGTGCTCTTATTGCTTTTACTTCTGGGTTCCTCCTGGCGTTTGTTTGCTGAGTATAGCTTGCAGTGATCGCTATGCGCAGAGAACCATTTCAGGAAGTAAGGATTACTTTCCATCCAGTTCTGATCATATTTATGATATACAGATGTTCACAACAAATCCGTTTCCTCTGTGAAATCTTGAGATGGGTGGAAATGCTTGGGTGGAAATGAACTGAGAACTGGCACCGTGTCATAGCCTTTTTTTAATCTATGTGCCTTGAACTAAGGCGAAATGTTAGAGTCGAGTTAGAATACACATATCCAAACTACATGTATACAAAGACTGTGTTGATAAGGTTTCAAAGAGCAGTAACACACAACCAACCTGCTTCCTTTGGTAATGCAAGCTGCTGCTTGTAAACAACCGGTGGAAAATCATGCTGCTACTTTACTTCAGTTTAATTTTGATCGAAGTCTGTAAGCTAGGTAGTCTTACAGTGTCACCTAATCTAGGTGGCAGCTGGAAGAGAACAGATTTTCCTGGCCATCGAAAAGGAATTATCCAAAGGTGATTGTGAATGTTTTGTTTGGACAGACAAAGGGGAAATTTTTAGCAATGAGAAATCCACATTTTTAGTCAGTTGAAAACTAGTTTATTTGTTCATTGAAATATTTTCCTTGGAAGTTGGAAAGCATTTCACAGAATTCACTATGGAAACTGCTTGAAGACTGCTGTTTGAGTACTCAAAAATTTTAACGTATATTTTGTCAAAAATTTACAAGTATATTGAGGTTTGGACATCTGCTTATATCATCAAACGTTGCCAATGTCTGAATTCCTGCAAAGACTTGCAGATAAATATATGTTAGTCAGCATGCAGTGTGCTACTTTTCAGTCTGAAGAACATAAGCAGAAAGGGAGAAATAGAAGTTAGCAGAGAAGGAGACTTCAGACGTTGTATTATTTGTTCTTATGGTGTGCTCTCAAGTCTGATTTGACCCATAAGTAAATGAACAGTATTGTGAAGTTAAATCTGACTGTCAAAATTTGCATATGGAGAAATTGTTATTGGTAAAACCCATGAGTTCCAAGCAGTCTCATTAGGAAGCGTGTCTGACTGGTTTACTGCATGTGCAAAAATTCACTTTGCACGTCCAGAATCTTACAGTTGTGAAATTTTAAGGGTAGCTGTGAGGATTCAAACTTTTCAACTGGAAATCTTAAATGTAACAAAGTTCTGTGTCCTGCATTTGGTAGCCTATATTGCAAATTATTGAAAAGCTGTCAGATAGGATGTGCTGTTATTGTAGAAAAAGGACATAAGCAAGTGATCTGAATCAGCAACACGAGGTTAGTCTTACTTTAATTGAAGCAGAAATTGCATAAAAATGAAGAGAAGTGGTGAAGGAGATTAAGAACGGATTATATTTGCTGCTATCTCTTGCAGCCTTTCTTATGGAGAAATACTGGCATTGTATGTGATCCTACCTCATCTTTAATAACTGGTGAACTTTGTTGCTTTCAGCTGGTTCTGATTGCAGGCTCACAGCAGTATGTAAATATGCTGGGCTTTACTAGCTGAGACTGGGATTCTGAGGGAAAGACAGCCTGAGGAAGAGGATGACAGCAATGCTGGATGAAAAAGGAAGTAAAATTCCAAATTTGAAGTGGTGCTAAATATGTTGCTGGGATGAGATTATGTGATTCTTAGTTCCTGGCATCAAATTCCCATTCTGATCAAAATCTCTTACCCGAAGCCTGAAAAACTCCATCATCATGATTTACCTTTATGACATACCCATATTTAGACAACACTTTTCAACCTGTACAGTCCTTCTGTTCATCTACAGTCTCATTTATTTACTGTCAAATTAACAATGATCAGTCGTGGATAATAATGATCTAATTGCAATAGCTAATACATTGTCTTGTCTTATATTGTATGTATATTTTTGTTTAATCTCTAAAATCTTCAGATACTTCTAGTACTATAGCTTGTGTATTATTAGGAATATGAACGATCCCTTGTTGCAGTTGTTTAATTTAATCCAGTTTATACCAGTCTGCTTGTTTCCTCTTTTGATTTCACAAAGTCATTCATGATCCAGGCTGAATGTATGCCATCCTCCCACCTTAGGCCAAAACAAAGGGAGGATTTAATCTCGTTTTAAATTGTGGTGGTGTCACGTGAGCGTGTATGAAGTCTGTCATTGAGGTTTTAGATATGCAGGCTTCAGATCTTTCTCTGCAGTGCTGGGAGAAATAACTGCTTTTTGGTTTGGTGGAAGTCGAATTTGTTATGATGGAAGTTGAACTGTACAGATGTTTAAACCGGTTACATAGAAAATAGGGCCAACATTGTTTTAATTATTTTCAAATTAAATTGTATTTTATTATAAGCTTCTAATTTAACTTAACCTATGTTTTAATCAAAGCTGTAGAAGCTTTAATTAAAGCTATGCTCAAGGCTGGAAATGCTGCCGAAGGTTTTAAGCATTTCAGCAGCACCAGCGAGGATTTGAATTAAATTGAACCGGTAGGCTTGTGATGTCAATATGGACAAACCATCATTTTGAAACAAAGAAACACATTTCAGAAGACGAGTAAAAAAGGTGTCCAAATTGCGTTGAATTCACTGTACTAAGTTATCAAGTGATTTTAGATCTGTTTAACTTCCTCTGAATTGCTCCAGGGTAGAAATCAAAGCAGTGTGTAAATTGCTGTTTTATTTTTTATGTTTTCAGGTGCTTCAGCTACAGAAAGCCATATGGAAATAGAAGGAATGGCTAATTGCCTGTCCTATTATGGTGTTTCTGATTTGAAAGAAATTCTGAATGCAGTAGTTAATAAAAATGCAAAGGAAGTATATGAATGCAGACCTCTCAAAGTGATAAACTACTTGGAGGTAAGGCATAACAATTTACTTGTAAAGATTGGCTAGCTGAGCTCAAGTCTTTAAAATCTTCAAGGTTGAGATTCTTTTTTCAATTTTTCATTGTAAGTAATGTAATTCTTGTCTGAACAGAAGTTACTTTTGAAAAGGAGAGTGCCAGATCCTCTCTGAGGTGTACGGGCTCTGCATTGCTTACCAAAATACTTCCATCAGACATACCACAAAACAGTCATCCATTGTGATCTAATACATGCTGAGAGTTTGTGCTCACAGGGTTTTTCTGGGTATGCAGTTTTCAGAAAGGAAAGGCATTTCTCCTTGTCAGAATACAGAGAAGTCATAAAATCGCTTTCCAGCTCTTCAATGCAGTTGAATCCAGAACAGTAATCAAGCTTTTATTCCCTCCGAAGTAGATCTGTGAAGGAATAATCAAATGATTTAAGTTATTAGTTTATGAAAAGTAGGAATTAACAAACTTAATTCTTGTGTGAACCTCAGAGAGTTGCATGTCCTGAAAAGCAGAAAGTGCACCATTTCCATTTGACGAAGAAAAATTCCTATGATTCATTCCAAAAGGGGATAAGAGACAAAGAGAATTTTCTTTGCCAAAAAAGCAAGCTGTCACTGAAATTAAGACATTGAAGTGAAAGAAATGAAGTCTCACATGTAGTGAAACCCATATGCTTCTGCAAATGCTTGTATTTAGTTAGCATCAATAACTTCTGAAGTTAAGGGCAGCGCATGCTGACAACTGAGTCTCAGAAGTCCACTCTACTCAAGGCACTAGTGACTAAGTTTTGCAGGAAACCATGTGTTCTTTACCAGCAGCCAGCACTATTCACAAGCAGCCAGAGAAACGGTGCTTTAGTAGAAGAATCTTTAAGCTGTTTTCTTTCAGATGTTGTTATGCAACAGTTGGAACCAGAATTACTTTTTTTTTTTTATGTTTGATATGCAGTAGATAAAATTGTCTGCCCAGAGACAATAATAGACATGAATTCACAGAGATGGCTAATAAACACGGTACTAGTAAGAGCTGGAATAACTAAAAGAAGTAGTTTTCCATAATTTCTTAACTTATTTCTAGATAGTTTACTAATGCCATCTTAAGCCACAGTTCTTGAGATATCTGTTCAAAAGAATACCAAGGTATATGTTAAGCTTGTTTTTATACAAGCTCTTGCCTGTGTGTTTTTCTGAATTAGAGTACTTATTGTGGCCGATATTTACATGGAATATATATATAGTATAATATAATGTAATAATAATGTGATAATGTTATAATATAATATAATGTAAATATATATCAGCCTTTTGAACATTCATTATACAAATCTTTTGCTGCTTTTTGGGGTCAGTAAATTGACAGCTGCCTTTGCTATTGTCATGCACTCTTAAGGAAAGAGTCAGTTAAGCATTGAGACAGGGATGTAACCTCATTTGGAGGTGGAAGCCTTAAGTTCTCTACTTACAAATACCTGTCTGTCAGGTGGATTGGGATGGAGTTGATTTGTGTGTTTAAAAGGAGAGCGTGTGTGTATATGAAGGTACAGTAAAGTGTATGTTAAGAGACTATCAAAGCATTATTAAAAGCTGTTGGCGATCTTGTGAGGAACAGTTCAAAAGAATGTTGAGCAGTAATAGTAGCTGGAAAATGCATATTCCCTAGAAATTATATGTCTTGCATTTGTGAAGAAGATAAATTTTAAAAGTAAGCACTGGATTTTTATTTTTTTTACTATTACTTTGTGTTCAAAGATGGAATTTCTGTCCTAAGTTGGAGTAATCAGCATATCTTCTTCTTTGGCTATCTTCTGGTAAACCTAGAAGCAAAAGTAGAGAAATGGTCAAAGTAAAAGCCTGCCTAAGTAGAGAATGGTCCACAGTGATCATTTTTCCATTTGGAAGAGAGGGCTGGGGGGGAATGGCTGAAAAGATTCATATTAAAAAATGTTAAATGTTGGTTTCATGCCTTGTGAAGGCATGACAGCCTAAGATAACAGCAGGAAACAAATTAATTTTGAAGCTACTGATTCTTTGAGGATGTTTGCTAGTAGTGCAGTGTTTAGCTGTCACTTTTGATTTCTAGTACTGTGAGACAATAGTATAAAGTATACATTTAATACAGCATTGACCTAAAATTTCACAATAGTATTTTTAATATTTTGTTTAACTATTTGTTTAATTTATACCAGTTCACAATTTTGTGGTGTAGAATACATCTTGTGAACTGGTAAATCTTTTCAGGCAACACTGTCACCAACAGAGAAATTGAGCTATTCAGAAACACAGGGACCCTAACAGAAAAAGTGCCAACATAACCAGTGGACTGTGTGTGACTGTCACAGAAGAGCAGGAAATGACCAGTATGATATGTTTAGAGTTTAATTTGTGTTTCTGGGATTCAGAGTATATAAATGTGAAAGGAAAACAGTGACCTTTCCCCAGTGAGTGCTTCATTCATGCTTTCTGATAGCCCTAGGTTAACATGTTACAAAGCAGAACTTTAACACTGTTGGGTTTTTTGTTTTTCCTTTCCACAGGGAGAAGCAGTGCGTTTAGCTCGGCAGCTGCCCTTACATTTGTCAAAAGAAGATGTAGAAAACACAATTTACAGGATGAAGCAACAGCTTGGAAGGGAAAATAAAGGCTGTGTTCATGGTCGTCCTTTTTTTCATCACTTAACAGATATTCCAGAAGTTAACAAGCCATAACTCCAAGGAAATTATTCAGTAAATGGAACATTTTGTTTGGGATCAGATTTCTCTTGCTTAATTTTGATCGTTATTCTGTAACCTCAGCACGTTTTGTGTAAAGCTTTTGTATTGTTACTTTTCATTATCAAAGTTCACCTTCTTGATATTTTTTTTAATTTAAATTCAAATGCTACTTGAGAAATGGAAATAAATTAACATTGTAGAGAAAAGCTCCACTATTTTTAAAAAGAATTTATTAAAGAAATATTCTCAACTACTTTGATGCTTTTCTCACTACTGCAGATTTAGAAAATATCAGTATGTCAAAATGTTTTAGATATGGTTATAAGCTGCTCTCCACAGAGCGTGGCAAAATTTATTGCACTATGACAAGTTATGTTAATTTTTAAAGGAAGCCAGATAGCAGTAAGTTATTTAAGCATTTAAATATGGCCCTACCATATATGGTTGTTATTGGCACATATTTATGTTGTTGGATTTCTATCTGTAAACTGTTAAATTTTGTGAAGTCCTAGAGTTCAATCTCTGGAAAGCTTTTCTATTAACTGTGCAAATCACTCCAATTATTTCTAACCTTCAGGTGCAAAGTTGTGATTCTTAAAAGTTCAGTACAATGCTAAAACTTAAGATTAATGAAAACCAGCTTAGTATTTAAAAGATGAATGGATCAGAGTCATGAGAGTACAGGTTAGCACTGGAAGCAGATGTCAACACACCTGCAATAGTGCAGTGCTATACTTGAACCATTTGCCATTTGGAAGCAGACAGTCCTCAGTCGAAAAGAGCATGGCATAATTAAGGAGAAATCTGCTATATAAAGAGCTGCTGATGGTGGTAAACTTGTTCATTTTGTTTCTACCATAATTTACTAGATTATGCCTTCTGTGCAACACATCTCTGGAAGCGTATGTTTAAAAGTTTCAAACAAGATGACCTGTAAATTTGTGTATGTCCCTAATTGTTTTGTCACAGCACATTTCAGTACTCTGTAAGTATGGGAGTTAGCCTAACTTTGCAGTGTTTCTGTGGCTGCTAGGTAAGTGGTTAAAAGGTTGCTGAAAAGCCTGAATCTAAGCTGCTTTGTGGGCAAGAATATCAGAGTATCAAGGAAATGCATAGTGTGAAAATGCAGATTATTGATATACTGCTCTGTACCAAACAGCAATGAGCTAATGAACGATGCAACAGCAAGTAGTATTTATTACCTCTCCTGATACGTGGAAGGATAGTGCAGCAGCAAAAGTGCAGCAAACAAGGTACTCCCTTCCTCTTTCCTTGAGCACAAGGAATATGTGAGTTCCTCTTCTGCTGTTCCCTACCTCTCGTGCACCTGTCATATGTCAGACTGAGAACAGCTGAAATACTAGGCAGTGAGAGCCTTCAAGAGTAGTAATGAAGTGTCAAGGGGGAAGCAGTAGTCTCTTTCTGGAGAAGGTTTGATATCTGCTGTTACTCTGAGGGAGTCCTAAGACATAGCTGTGAATATCCTGGCCATGAGAGACATGCAGAAGGCAAGGGGTTGATGTGCTTGACTGAAAAACCAGCAAGAGGATCATGCATCCAAAGGCTGGGTGATCAAGCAGCTAACACCTTTCTTTTGGATTGGCATTATGTTTCCCAGCTGTGAAAGATCTTAACAGGTTTTGGTGTGTTGGGATGACTTTAAAGAGAGTGTTAGGAGCCTCATCAGAGGCCTAGCAGTACACTGCAGAACTGGTTATATACTCACACTGACGGCAAACCCCGTGGGCAGGAAGGAGTCATTGGAGAAGGAGGGGTCAGCAGCACAGGGACAGGGGGAGGAGAACAGAGCGGGGAACAAGAGAGTGCACAAGCAAGGTATCTTAATTTGTAATGAGAGCATGAGTGGAAAACTAGGTTCACATTGTCTGTAAATGACACTCACTGCAGAAGATGTGAATTTTCAGAGTGAAAGCAAGGAGGGGTATGGAGGCACAGGAATGAGATGTGACTTTGGGCTCTGAGGGGAAAACATGATCCTGGTGTGGCAGTGGATGTGGGAGGTTATGGTTTGTTTTTACTCTTGTTTGGATCAGTTGAAAGAGCAGCCCTAGCCATGAGAAATGCCAAAGTCAATACGGAGAATGGATCACTAAGTGAAGAAATTAAATGACTGCATGCTCTGATTTTAATTGGTTAGGACGAGTAGTTAGTTGTATGTGTGTTAATCTCAGTAAGTGCTACGTGTGTGTGTATGTATGTGTGTATATATATATAAATCTCAGTTAGCCTATGTAGCAGTTCCTGAGTTTAACGGTTGTTCACTCAAAGGTACACAGGTGAGGTGGGTGGTAAATTGATACAGCCAGCATCTGCACAGGTGCCGAGCTGGGCTCAGTTGCCATGGCAACAAATGAGCAGCAGGCATTTCTGTGGGGCAGGTGTGCTTCCCTCCTGCCTTCCTGCCCAGGCTGGTTGTTCTGTGCTCCGGAGGTACCTCGAGATATCTCCTTCAGGTAGGTGAGCGCAGAGTTCTTTCGGTCTCAGTTGAGACTTCTTTTAGTCTTTGTGAGGTGCTGGGGGCTGGCAGCGAGTGCTGCAGGACGGCGCTGTGGGGACGAGGCTGTACCTCACCTCAGCAATGGCGGCTGCCTGTGAGTTGAAACGGGGAGTTGTTCTGATGCTGTGCTGAGGGGAACTTGGTGATGGTTGTAGATAGTTTTGGGGAAGCCAGGCAGTGTTTTTGGTGCAGTGGTTCTTGCACTGAAATGCCTATCAGCTTTGATCCTTGTCTGCTGTCTCTCAGCCCTCGGGTGACATGAGAGAGTCTCCTCAGAGCACCGGGGATATCGGCGGGCAGCAGCCCTGAACTGTGCTCCCTATCGGGAGGGAAAAACAAACGCTGGAGAGGTGCAACACCGTGTAAAAGCTCGGTTGCTAGTAGGCTCTCCCCTTAAAGGACGAGCTGGAGCAGGACGGGTTGCAGTGAAGCAGGCAGGGAGCCTCAGACCTGCCCCTCTCCACCGCCAATGGCTGGCTGTGGGCATCTCAGGGGAGTTCCAGTATTTGCACTGCCCTCTGCTGGCATTCGATTCTTGTGTAGATCTGCCTGACAAAGTGGTCAACTGGCAGCTCCGGGCTGGTGACGAGGGAGCACCGTGCTCTCCTTGCAATCAGCGGTGTGCCAATGTGTTCCCATGTGGGAAACTGCTCATGGAGGGCTCTTCTCCCCTTCCCCAGATAAGCCTAGTGCAGGTAGCAGCATTTCCTGTCCAGTAACGTAGGCCTTTCCATACTAAGGCTTTTTTGTTTCTTTGGTTTTTTAACCTTCTGGCTCTCTGTATCTTTCCTCTTTTCTCAGAAGGATCGCGTGTATGGTGTTTTTTGGCCGGCTGTGCTGGTGCACTTCCAGCTCGAGTGTCCACCTCCCCCAAATTCTGAGAAGTTCTGTCTTAATATGGAGCCTCTGAACAATAACTTTCTTTTTAAATACAGAAGAATCTTACCGAAGGAAGATAAATTTGTCCTGCTTGTAAATATAAGCACACAAAAATACCTTCTACTTGTTTCTTTTCTAAATGTATTGAGAGTTCTAATAATGAAGTTTGTTTCCTGTTGGTTAAGAAGTGTGTATGTGAAGGGATTGGATTATTTCCATGGATATATATTTCTATTCTTTCAGTATGAGCAGTGCCAGTTCAGAGAATAATTGCAAAACCAGGGGGATGGTGACTTATTTGAGGAGCCCTTAGTCAATAATTGTTAGCAAATTCTATGGTGCGTGTTGTTAAAATGGGCTCTTCTATATTTCAGTATGGATTACTGAAAGTGTCTAGCAATGGAACCAATACCTTCAAACAATGTTCTGATTGCACAACTGATAATTCTTCAGTTGCAGGGTTTTCATGCGTTTTCTAGTGGTTTTTTGTTGTTGTTGTTTTTCTAATTTCCTTACAAATGTACTAGTATTACTTTCATGGAAGTAAGCATCAAGGACAACAGGGTTTTTTGTTGTTGGTTGGTGGTTTTTTTTGTTGTGGTTTTTTTTTTTTTTTTTTTTTTTTGAAAGATTTGCTAATATTTGGTCTTCAGAACTTGTTGTATCTTTTGTAATCTGGCCTGGTTTCTGGTTGATTGGGTTTCTGTGTGCATGTTTCTTAGACAAATCTACAGCTTTGCATTTGTTGTTTGTCATTGGTGGTGTTTTTGTTGCTTTTTTTTATTATTATTTTTTTGCTACAATAGTAATATTGAAGAGTTTAAAAATCTGTTTCTTTTATATTCAGTATTCAGCAGACTGGGTTAAGATTTATGTTAAGCTTAAGGGATGTTCATTTAATTTTTCAAATGGAAACCTACCAGAAGTGGCTTTTATTTTCTCTCTCTCCTCCTCCTTAAGCACAGAGTATCATATCTAAAATTATGAAGAGTATAAATGTGGAAATGTTAAATCTTTTGTTAATGGCTTCGAATTAAGCACACATTGTTGCAGATGATTTGGAGGACTTATTTAAAGTAAATATACAATTTCAAGCTCAATTATCATTCATAGTTTAACTACGCATAGTGAGGTATTAGGTCTGTGAATTTGATACAGTGTTACTTCATAATTACGATGCTTTTTTTACAGTAAATTTGATATAGAACAGTTGCTAAAGGAAAGCTGCTGAATAGTGTGACCAAACATTTTATGGAACACATCTGGTGAATTAGTTCAGGATGTGCCCTGCATAAGAACAGAGCCTTTTGCACAAAACGAGAAGGAAGCTAACTCCACATGTATATGTTTGGCGGACATGAGAAGAGTTTAAACAATTACTAGTTAATTGTGTAAGCTAATAGGAGGGGTGCTCGTAATGTCATTTCAAAATAGCTCCAGAGGAAATAGATGAGAATTATTGTTTTAAAATCTCAAATGAATGGTTTACACCTGTTAATGTTACATTTAGAACAGCTGTTTCTTTTATTATCAGTAAACAGATGCAGAAAGTAATGGAATGTTTTAAAGCAATATGTTAATCCTGTCCCCCACTACTGAACATTCTCACAATCTCGTGATTAAATATTAACTGTAGTAGTGCTGTCATCTGCAGCTACAGAATTCTCAGGGGTTTGTTTATCATCTACGTATCTGACATTGTAAATGTTTATCCAATGGCACTGTAGTTTTTATCAATTGATGACATGTCCTTTTGCACATCAGTAATTTTACTGACAATTCTGTTGGAATTACTCAGCCAAAACGGCCCTGAACTTTGAGTTTTTCAATACTTATTTCTTCCTTGGTAATTACACCCTCCATTGCTGCTTGGCATCGTGGGTAAAGCTTTGCCAGAGCAGACTCTGTTAGATCCAGCACTTCACATCACTGCACGTTGGGGCAGCACTCATAAGGTGGTACAAATGAGGCTTTTAGGTAGCTCATGGGAATTTTTGTTCTGTGTGAAAATAGCTTCAACCCAAGCTTATTTTCTGTATGCCTTGAGACAGATGTGTCATGTAAGTACAGAACAGCTATGATTCTGATGGCTTATGGGAAAAAATGACTCGCAAATGTGGACACCACGTGTAGCTAAAGCAAGTATTTAAAAGTCAGCTCCGAAATTGACCTGAGATTGTGCAGAAATGGGTACTTGCCACTCACCTCCTCAGAGTTGATAGTTCCTCGAATGAAAATGTGCTCGTCTTGAAGTTATGGTATCTGTGAATGTGACACATTTTGGGAAAACAACATTTCAGTGAAATCACGTGAAATTGTGGAGCTTTACTAACTCAGCACTCCAAGAACGGAAGCACAGAAGATTAATGCTCTATAACTTGTTTGGCAGATTAGCTTTCAGGAAACGTAAAGACCAATGAATATGGCAGCTGCATTATTAAAATACTGTATTCAAACTCAGGTCAATTTGTTCATTCATGCATGGAGTAACTCGGCAGTAATTGGATCATAACATTTTTGTTGTTTTAAATAACCGGTATTTCATGTCTCTGCACTTACAGTGCCTGTTCAAATTAGAATATTGGCACAAGGAGCAACCATTTTGCTAGAGGTGATTTTATAGGAGTGCTCACTTCTCAGGTTGTCCAGTGAGAAAATGACATTGGTAGAAGTACAGTTTGCACTCATTTTTGGAGGATTGTAAAGATGCCGAGTCTTAAAATGATTTGAGTGGATATAAAATAACAAAGATGTTGTGTCTTTCCCTGTACTTATTAGCCCGGTACTGTTTCCACAAGGTGAATGAGTGGTCTTAACAAGAGATGAGAGAATTTGTCTCGATTAAATAATAGGAGGAACTCTCTCATATTCATTCAGTAGATTTAGAAGAAGTCCTGTCATCTAACTTCTGGAGAAAGTAAAGGAAAATCCTTCTGGAAATAATTTGGGTTTATTTCATATAAAGTAGTTGTTGAAAGGCAAATGGTTTCAGCTGTGAGGAGTGATTCTTGTCAAACTTTGGGCCAGAACTGACTAGTTATAAATAGATTCTTTCAAAGCAATGTGCTATGGGATTTCTGTTCTTCTTCACTTAAAACAAACAGAGTTTGACTCTTACTTAGTTAAAACTTCTGTTCCCTGGCAGTGTAGGTATGTATAAATTAGTATAAGAACCTGTTTGTAGTTACTCAGATGTGTGAAACTAGTTCTAGAAAATGTTCCCTCTTCAGAGGGATTCAGTTACTTCTCCCCCAAGGTAGCATCCTGCTTCACACAGCATTGCTGCCATTATTGCTTCTGAAGCTTTGCATTTGAAAACTATTTGCTTGTGATCTGTTGCCACTTAAGAGAGCTGTAACTCTGCTGTTTGCTGCAACCTCTGAGCATGTGAAAACACTGCCAGCTCCTTCAGAGAGTATGGATTTGAGCTGACATCTGCTAGTAAGTGTGATTTTTGCGTCGACTATGAGAGAGCAGTAAGGTGGACTCCATCCTTTCAGAACTGCAACCTTTTGTACTGTTAGCAAGCTTTACTGTAGATGTACATGTGTAGATGTGATATTAAGGACCACGGTTTAGGGGGCAATATTGGTGGTAGGTGGGCGCTTGGGTGAGATGATGTTACAGATCTTTTCCACCTTCATGATTCTATACGCTGAAAAGTGCACCGACTGCTGTTAGGTTATGGAAGTTCCTACACAACACCATCAGCAGCTTGAGCTGGATGCAGAGTTGTGGTGGGGGAACAGGAAACGCAGTTCTTGCAGCTAAGCTTCTGCTTTTAGGTTTTTGGCGTAATTGGTCTGAACGTAATGGCTAATGGTTGGCTGTGCTTAACTCTCACCTAATTAGGAGCTCTTTGTAGAATCCTGTGGGCTGAAGTTTTAGAACAAATGGTACCAAGAGTCACCAAAACTGTGCAGTCTTTTGTTAAACTGGTGCGCGCTGCTCCTTCTGCATTTACCTGGATGCTGTATAGCAAGAAAGTGTTGTGCTGACTCCTTAAATCATGCTAAGCAATCATAGTCTCGAGCACTGGCAGGTTTTTAGTTTATTGGCAAGCCTGTGTGAATTAAAACTAAAATTCTGAACGAAGACTTGTAAGGTACAGTGTATTGCAATAATAACTGTCTTAGTAGTTTTCTTAACCTTGTCAGCCTGAGTCTTTAACTTAAAAATTTGCAACAAGTATTTTGGCACAGGGCAGTTTGTTGTAAGGAGCGTTTAATGGCTTGTTATGTCCTATTTCTATAAACAGAAGTCATTTAGAGTTCAGCAGATATATTTAGAATCAGCATTTGTGCTGGTAGTTACAAGCTGAATAAAATTATCTCTGAAAATCTCAATATGCAGAAGGGAACAGACCAGTTCAAATTTATCTCACAGCAAACTCTTTCAGGAGGTTTTGATGCCCGCTGTCATTAACCTTCAAATTTAGGAAATAGATTTTAAACTACTTATTAAAAAGATTAAGTTAAATGATAACAAGTGTTGTGTGCAGGCACTGCTAGTTTAGGAGAAAGTTATGATTATGGCCGTCCAACAGTCTGGCCTTGCTCACTTGATCCTAGCAAAATACCTTGATCTTCATAGGGGCTGTCTCTGTGAAGGAGTGCAGTGTAGAGTGTGGTGGCACCTGGGGAGGTGGGCCTTGGGCTGCTTTGGATCAGAAATTATTAAAAGGACTTTGCACAGAGTGGTTTGTAACCTAACTTTGCAGTTTGTTGACTTCTAGTTACGTGCAATGTCTGGGAAACGTTTGCCAACTCTGCTTGCAATAGGAGTTTTATGGCAAATAGTAAATTAAAACCATAGTGACCTTTTGGTCTTGCTGACCATGTGCATAAAGATGTCTGTCGTTGTAATCCCAGCAACGAGGTGCTGGCTCAGAGGACAGCAGGGATGAGCGATGTTCTTGTACATTTGTTCTCCTGTGTTTTTATAGGGAAAATTCTGCAATTAGAATGTTTGTAATAGCACTCAGATGAAGGGGTTTTGTCATATTTTGTGTTGGAAAAGGTAGTTGTTCTTTTGTCTAGAAAACAAGATTCATTTAGTCGTCCAAACAGACATTGGTGTCTATTGGTTGAAATCTTAATTGATAATTCTTCCATGGTTACTTGCTCTGGCTCCTCTGGTGGGAAGCCTGATAATTTGTAGGTGCGAGGTATAACTCGGATAAAGATTCTGCTGGACATTCAACTGAGGAGTTTGAAAACATCAAATTCAAGGTATGTGCTGCACTGAAGTGCTTCTTCCCTCCTGTATTTTAGCACAGTTGGAGCTGTTCTTATGCTGAAGTTTGGACATCTTGTACGTAAGAAAGAATATGTCACCTGGTTGAGTGGCTCCCAAGTAACCAACCTGACAGAAGGAGCATCCTGCAGGGATGGTTCAGTAAATAGCTAGGAATTAAGCTCTATGTAGTTGTGCCTCAGCAGGCCGTGTTTCTGATTTTACCTTGGTTGAGTTCTGATCACTGCAGTTTTTGTAGAAAGTTATTACTTAAGAGGGAGCAAGTAGGTACTTGTAGAGATTCTGAAATTGTACCTGATGGCTTTCAGTGCTGCTCACCCCCGCGTCTGCACCATGGCGCTGTGTACATGGGTGGGAGCAGCACTGCACCCGTTTGCCCCATCAGGAAGCCAACACGTGGAGCCCAGATCTGACCCAGTGCTGGCAGACCTGGCAATGGGACCTTGTGTGCAGCCTGCTTCCCTGCTTCAACTGCAGGGGAAGCCTGCTTGCTGCAGAAAGCGATACTCTGGTACCGAGTGATATATATGGCGTGCAACACAAAAGATTTCCTGTTTTCAGTTTATATTACATGACCTGTGGGCTAACTGAAGAAAACATCACTGAGAAAATGCTACATCTACATATACAAGTGTTCCTATTGATACGTTATTTTTCTAAGATTTTGCTGAGTAAAGCTATTTCCACACATAAGCATTTTGGCCATCTGCAACTGCTCGTCAGTGAGCCTGGTTTGAGAACACTGGTTGTAATTGTAACCTCAGGAATGTGTGACCAGCTCGCGGCCAGCTGTGCATGCCCTGACTTTTCCCAGGTGTTAAGATCATGGCCACTTTTGTTCACTCTAATCAATGGGGCAAAATACATTCCCTGTTCTGTCCCACCTTCTACTAAACCCGAGAAGTGTTATTTTGTGTGGTTTTGTTTGAGATGTCATTACAAATAAGTAGACGAAGGTGTCCATGTTGTTTCATTATTGTACATACGTGTCATAGTGTGCAGAGTCTGTATGGTGGTATATATTTAGAGAATTTTAAAGTGCTCCTCAGTGTGCCGTGGTCTTGCTATGAATTAGCAGTGCTGACCCTGCAAATTACAAAAGTGGGTTTTTTTTTTTTTGAAGCCATTTACTTACATTTCAACAGCATGTATATTTCTGCAGTTTATCTGGACGGGGTCAGCAGCAACATGTTCTAATCATTTTTATTTTAATCATCCGTTTAATGATTGTGGGAACAATTACTAGTCTTCTGCTTGGCAGCCTAACTGGAAGCCCTCCCTAAATCCAAGCTGGAGGTATCTTCACATGGTTTTTAGTTTTATTTTCTGTGCCTAAGAAGTGTTATCTAACCCTGTAGCACTTTCCATGAATAGTATTTGGTGCATTTAATGTGAGGGATGAATATAGCTTACGAATAAGCAGTACGTGTGAGTACGGGTATCCTTTCAGATGCTGTGGAGAGGGAGGGCACTTGGAGTAATCACAAATGGAAATGGGCTCATTGGCCCTTAGCACTCTTTTTAGTCAAGTAAAATGTTAAGCATGAGATTAATCGATGGATGTGACCATTTGCAGATATAAAGAAATAAATCTTCCTCAAATCACTATGGATGGCAAAAAAAAAAAAAACAACAGTGAGTTGGCATTATCTCTGTGTAGTCAATAAGGACAGGACCTGAGTTCATAACTTGAGACCTGTTCTTGATAAGATCTGAAAGATGAGATCTGAAAGATGCTTACCTCTGGAAGTAACCTACCTACTCAGACCAGTTTCTGGGCTAGAAGGCATTTAGACCTTCAGGTGGAGCAGATGTGTATCAAGCTAAAAGAACATGAATTATGAACTCGTGTACAAAATGCAAGTGGTACATATTGAAAGAAAAGGCAGCTCAGGACAAATGCATGAAGAGCTTGACGGTATTTTAATGCAAAATAATAGTAGCAAAGCTGGTCAGCCTTCTGGTCTGAATGCATCCCCGCTGTTCTCCAGAAGTCAGCAGGAAGAGACACTTAGTGAGCTTATGACCAATTAAATTCTCCATAATTTAGGTGAATTGACAAATGGGCATCAGAGTTAGAGATATTTCTGACAATGCCAAGCAGATTCTTTCAAGACCTAGTAGGTGCAAGTGTGCCCATTGCTGTGAGTACTAGCTGATCTGAGTGAAACCAGCATACAGAACTACTTTGAGAATGTGTGGTGCTTGAAAATTCTGCTTCTGTGGCCGTGCAGAGACCTCATACAATTGGTTTTGATTTTCTTTGATTGTAGTAAGGACACAGGTATTAAACCAGAGCTAGTATTTTTCTTGCTGCTTTGAAATCTATAGGGAAAGAGCAAATGAAATCTCTTTAAGTTCTCGACTGCTGTTGAAAATTTGGTTCTTAGGGACTCGGGAGCACATTTAACCTTGAACGTCAGTGAAGGAATAGACTCCTGAATGCTTGCTTACCTCTTGGAGGTTGTACCAGAGGTGCCTGGGGAGAAAAGGATGACACCAACTCTGTGGCAAGACCCACTTAAATGTAAACTTAGAGCAAGGCAAGCCTGTCTTGCAACTGCAGTACTGTAGAGTACTTGTGCTTGATGATCTTACAGAGGAGGCTGAATTATGTGCTTATTCAAGAGCCCTTGTAGTGGAAGTATTGGTCTGCAAATCCTCTCTAAAAAGCAGGAACCTTCCTATCTTCAACAGAGGATGCAGGAGAGCTGCTAAGACCTGGGATAAAACCACATGGTACAAATGGCGCGTAAGTGATTTGTGCCTCTGACTGACATCTCTCCAGTGAAGACTCCCAGATATGTACCAGCATTGCAAGATTCCTGAAACCACTGGTCTTCGGTATTTCCTGTGAAATCTAAACCTAATGTTCAAAATCTGCATCAGCACTGAGCTGGTCTGTCCTTAGTTTTCTGTTCGTCAAGGTGGCTTTTCTCATTAGCATAAATCACAGAGCTCCTGCAGCAGTAGCGGTGTCTGTGTGACACGCAGCGCTTCTGCTACTGCTGAGGGATATTTACTGCCCCGAGTGCTCTGCCTTGGGTTGCTGCTTCTTTACCTCACTTCTTTCGTGGTGGCAAGTAATAAGATGAAATGAGTAAGGATCTCTAAGGGGAAGTCTACAGTACTGCAGTACTTTCCTCATTCATCTCATGTGAACAAAACACTTTAGCCGAAGGCAAACAAAACGGACCCTAGCTAACTGTAAAAGTTTCAAAACAATGACATAATATCTGAAGTGTTGCATTAGTCTGTGGCAAAGAGGTTAAATATCTCTAAATTGTGTGTAACCTCATGGAAGAAATAAGATACTTGTGGGGTATGGGTACATAATGTAAACACTTTCAAAGGGTGTTTGGCAGTGCCTTGGAATTTGCTCCAAATACTTTCAGTTCAATGGGAGTGAAGGGCCATGCTCTTTTACAGCTTCACTCGATACGTTATTTTGGAGGAAGGAGATTTGGAAGCCTATCTGCAACTTTTTTTATAGCCCAGAAGTGCCATTGGTTTGGGAGGAAGTCAGATGGGCTGTGTGCTTGTGTTTCTTCTTACCTGCTCATCTTTCTCACTTAGATTGCTTTTAATTTTCAGGTTTACTTGAGTAACACCTATGTATGTGGTAGCATGAGATATATTGCAAAAACATCATCTATGACAACTGCTTGCTTTGTATGTGACAGGACGTGATCTGTGTTCATGCTGTTTCTCACTTGTTGCTGTTGGAGCGAGAATATTTCTGATGTTAGCACTGCAAATCTTTCTCTCTGTGCCTCTTCGCAAACATTATTATACCTGCTGGGATGACCTCAAATGCTTTCATTACGAGGATTTGAGGACTTACTGGAATAGAAAGTATTTTTTTCCAGTAGAGCTTTTGAAGGATCACTAAGAAGTGCTCTGATTCATTGCAGCTTTCAATCACCTTGCCTTCCACTGCATTTTCATCACATATTGCAACTAAGTAGCATTAATCTGCTCAGTACTTGGGTGGAAGCTGCAGGGAAGGAGCAGAGGTTGGTTTTTCCCTGCATCCTGTGGCAGCGTGTGAAACCAGTTGAGCAGAGCTGTTAACCTTGCTCCTGAAGGCTAACGTAAATCGAAGGTCCTGAGCACAAGGGGTTGTTAAAATTCTCATAGGGCTCTTTATAAGATTTTTAACCCCCGTGGTCTGGCTGGGCTCCAAAGTGGGTAATTGCATTCTTCCTACCTAAATTCCCCCTGCAATTCCAATTTGATGCGCTGGTATTCCTCACTTCCTCTCTGCTGCCATTCGCCGTGCAACAGTTGTTGCATTTCATCCCAGAGGTACTTGCTTTGGGTGACAGATGGAGTGCTCTGTGTGCATAGCCTATAAAGCATTTTAAGATCCTTTGGGATGGAATGTAATTTATGATGCTTAATTTTTTTTTAATTATCTGCTATCTAAAGTGCAGTAGGTTAATCTCACCCTTGAATGCATGTAAACTGCATGCAACAGACCTAGAATTGAGATAGGATCAACAACTGCTCCGATTCCTTCTTGAACTTCTTTCCAGAGGTTTTCCAGTAGAAAAGGTCAAACCACAGGAAGTCTGTAAAATAGGAATAATATGGACTGCATAGCAAGGCTCATGTGAGCTCTGCCTCAACTGAAGCGTGTCTATATGACGTACTCTCTGCTTAGGGATTCTGTTGTGGCCTATGGAATATCATCCAAACACTCTTCTGAAACAGTTGCTGGTTTTCTCTACAGTCTTATTACACCAGAACTGGCTTTTATTGTAAAAGCAGTGTTAAGTTTAATTAAATTAATGCATACTTATGGGAAGTGTATTGGTATGAATTTTAATATTATCTCTATGTAGACAAATGAGGAGTTAGTACTCAGCTTTCAGGAAAAGAGAGAAGTAATCTTGTTATATGGCAAATATGCAGAGATTCAAAACCAGTGTTGTCTAAGGGGTTTTCTTTAATGCGTGTCTGTGATGCAAATAGCACATGGTGATGCTGGGAGATTTCTTGGTATTTATTTAGTTAAAAGTTAGTTTCTCTCTTCCTTTCGGTCATGGAGTGGCCCATAATAAATCTGTGTTCCACAGGAAGTCTCTGTACAGCCAGCAAGCACAGGATCACAGAATGGCCAGGTTTGGAAGGGACCTCAAGGATCATGAATCTCCAACTCCCCTGCCACATGCAGGGCCACCAACCTCCCCATTTAATACCAGACCAGGTTGCCCAGGGCCCCATCCAACCTGGCCTTGAACACCTCCAGGGATGGGATGTAATTCAAGCAGGATGAACTGAGCTTCTATTTCAGAAGGCATAATGGCTTTGCCTTTTTTGTTTTATGTGATGGCCACTGCATTTCACATGCTTCTGGCAGTAGTATTTGTTTAGGCCAGATGTTTCTCTCCTATGCCCAGCAGCACATATGCTGTGAGTAGAAACAGAAGATCGCTGATCATCTTTGCCTTTGTGTCCTGTTTTGCTAAGGGACCAATTCAAAGAGATGTTTTGAGGTGGTCTCAGAAGCAGGAAAGCTGTTCCCCAGGCGTTAGGGAAAGCTGAAGACTCTGTAGGTGCTCTTTCCTATAGCACAGCAAATGTGATTCCTGTGCCAGAAACTCAAAAATAGATACATGACTCTGTAAGTGAATATGAAGCACTCCTCAAGCTTCTGAGAGCTTCCTGGTGTTACTTCCTCAGTTGGTGTGCATCTCTGTGTCTTGGCTCCTGCCTCAGGCAGTTGTTTTCCGGAGCTTTTTGGAAGTTCTAAAGTGAGGAAAAAAAAACAATGAAAAACTGTCATCAAACTGAAGAAAAAAAAATAACCCTCACTATGTAAAATAATAATAACAATAATAATAATAAATAGGAGCCTGCTGTGACACAGTAAGCTTGAAAAGTTGAAGTGGAAAATCTTGCTAAATCTTTCTTAGTGTGTCAGTGAAAGAACATGCTATAAGCTTTATCCTTCTCTTTAAGCTGTGAAGAAAGCTCAAATAAATTGAATTAAGTAGCTGATACATTTAGCTCAATGTACTCTGCAGCTCGTTTGTTGCAGAGAAGGCAGCCACTACTCAATATGTAGCCACGATTAAATGTAAGCCTACCTGGTGAAGGCTTAATAGTTGTTGTTTTGTTTTTTTAACTCCAAAGGGGAAGCTTAGTTTTATTGCCCTGACCAGTTCAGGTGTATTATAATTTAGAAACCAATTACCATTTAGAATTTAAAAACAAACAAAACAAAACAAAAAAAAAAACAATTTTAGGACTGTAATTTCTATGAGTCAGGATGGCCGAGCGGTCTAAGGCGCTGCGTTCAGGTCGCAGTCTCCCCTGGAGGCGTGGGTTCAAATCCCACTCCTGACAATTACTTTTGGCCTGTAACTAGCGGTGTTCCTTTGGCGTTTGGTACTGGGTTCAGTCTTGTTTCGACATCTTCATCAACGACCTGGACCAAGGGGAATAGAGTTAATCCTCACCAAGTTTGCTGCCAATGTGAAGCTGGGAGTAGAGGCTGACACACCAGAAGGAAGTGCTGCCCTTCAATGGCACCTGGACAGAATGGAAAATTGAGCAGGGAGAAACCTGATGAGGTTGAGTAAGAGCAGATGTGAAATCCTACACGTGGGGAGGAATAATTGTGTG